CTGGTCACATCCTGGCATAACTGGTCTTTTTGCTCCTGTCCAGTGTTTGTGGTATGGAAATGTCTGGTGTCTCTTACACTCGTTAAAGATATTGGCAGAACAGTGGATAAAGTTAAGGGAAAAAATATTAGGACCAGGGAATTGAGAGGGGTGTATCTGACCTGTTTAAGGTGGATCCTTCATTTCGGCTCCCTGGAATTTAACAAGAATTCTTTGGGCTTGTGAAAACAGAAGTTTTAGACATATGCATTGTGTAAACAGCAGCATATTTATGCCAGAATGACTGTGACAGATATGTTTGTACAATGAAAAGTATCTTTAAGACTATGGAAGGCAGTGTAAGAGAGAAATTTGATAGCGTGCACTTGTCCTCACACTTTTATAACTTGCAGGTCTTGTATTTGTAATTTGCTGAAATTTGTTTGGTGAGGTTGTCCTTTTAAACTGACAAAACCTCTCAGCTGTCAAACTGCATCAGAAATCTTTGAGAAGGATAAAATTTTACTTGAGTTACTGATTCAAAAACGACAGAGAACTTACTTGGTTGGCACCTAGAGCTACTGCTCAGGGTCCTCTATGGTCGTTGAAGGTTGTATTTGCCTTTTGCTGTTTAGCGCTAGGCCTGCCAGTCTCCAGAAGAGACTTACCCTTACTGAGGGGTAACGAAATCTGTAGGAAGACAAGCCTACCTTGACCCAAGCAGCCAGGCTGTCGATTCCAGCGATTCTGTCCACTGTCTGGTGATCTTTAGTTTAGATGAAAGGCAGTTTTGTCTAGTGGTCAGTGCTTGGCAGCTGAAGCAAAGTATGGATGGACACTGTTTTGTGCCCATTTGTTTTCTGTCTCCTTTGGAGGAAATAGAGTGCTGCTGTTGGGAGCCAACTTGTCTCTTTTGGTTATGAATTTTTTTAATAATTAAATATTTAAATGCCATATTCCCCAGATCTCTGAACAGTTGAGAGCTGTTTATCAGGTATAGATAGCTACAGTATAGAATCTGCCTGGAGAGCTGGATCCAAGACTGACTGTACTGGCTAACTTAACAGGTAATATTTATACTCATAAAAAGACAGAAAGAAGAAAAAACTGCTTGCAATAAAAGGTTAACATCAGAACTGACAATAATAGAGAACAGCTTCATATATTTTAAATGCAGGTTGGATTAAATATAAAGTATTTTTATAGGAGACTTAAAAGTACATACCAGTTTAAAACATGAGACTTATTATTTTTTGTAGTCTGAAATGAGATGTAAGGGACAGACAATTATAACATTTAACAGTAAACATAGGTTCATTTAAGTTACATGTATCAACACGCACACACATACAGTAAACAGGCATTGGTTGAAGTGGATGCTCTTGGTGGGCCCTACCAATGGCATGCCACTATGCAAAACACACATGCAACAGAGTCAACAAGAGGAATTTAGAGACAAAAACATAAGTAAATCAGGGGAACAGGCAGGGTATACCTCAGTAAAGATGGCAGGACTTGGTCACTTGATCTGCCTCTCAGTTAAGATAGTGGTAAAGTCACCTGACCTCAGTTAAGATGGTGGTAAGGTCACCTGACCTCAGTCAAAATGACAGTACTCACATGTTGTATGTTGAATTAAGTGTCGAGGTCCTATGCCCCAACATAAAAACTACTTTTCCCTAACTGGACCAGTGCAGAGGCACAGGGGAAAAAAATGAGACACAGTTCACGCAGCAATATCAGAAGGGAGTCTCAGACTTGATCCATTCCTGAAGATCACCCGTGTTTATTATTCAAACACCTTTTATTCCTTTTGGTAAAACAAGGTGGAAACTCATTAATATTCTATTTCCAGGGACGTGGGAGTGCCATCACACCTGCAACTCAGTCACCAGCTTGGAATCCACACCTCTCCCCAGATGATCTACGTAATAACAAAAGAGAAGGAGCAGTACGTCCTGAGGCTTTTGTTAGATAGCCACAGCTTGTCTGGCAGGATAGTGACTGCCTTGGAAACCAAGCATGGCCAGAGAACTTGGCTGTAAATATCTTTTTTTTTAAAATTATGTATACAATATTCTGTCTGTGTGTATGCCTGCAGGCCAGAAGAGGGCAGCAGACCTCATTACAGGTGGTTGTGAGCCACCATGTGGTTGCTGGGAAGTGAACTCGGGACCTTTAGAAGAACAGGTAATGCTCTTAACCACTGAGCCACCTCTCCAGCCTGTATTTACAGCCTACAGTTGGGCCTACAGTTAAGATATCGGTAAAGTCATCCAACTTTGGTTAGGATGGTGGTAAGGTCACCTGATATCAGTAAAAATGGCATCAGTCACATGTTGTATGGAAAAGCTACTCAGTTAAAATGACGGCCAAGTCACTAACCTCAGTCAAAATGGCAGTGGTCACATGTTGTATGAAAAAGCCACAGTTTTTGAGCTGCAGGGATTTTAAGTTTAATAATAAGAGAGACCTAGAGGTGTGATCCACCCTGTTGCTCAGCCGCCATGCCACAAGCCGTGGCAGGAAGTAAAAGGCATGAATTGAAAACAGCCACCTTGTGGATCTGACCAATCTTATTGGCAATAGTAGCAATGGCAGGGACAGTTTGAAGAAACTTCTTCCATTTGCCTGTGCTCTGACAGTAGTTAGAAAGCTCCCGTAAAAGTGGAGCTGGTGGGACACTGGCAGAGTGAGGGTAGGAGTTGAACAAGTAGAGCATTAAGGCCTGGGGTTTTGGGGCCTCTAAAAGGCGTCCATCCCAGAGGAATGGACATGGATGGCTTGCTACCCATAGCTGAAAGTGTGTAAACCCACGAAATGAAAACGGCAACACAACAAGGCCTACAGGGAGATGTCTCTTCCTCTATAGGCAGGGTGTAAATTGGTGTGAACCTGTGGGAGAGTGTCTCCTGCCTCCGGGCGGAGTGCTATTGCCTGACTAGATCTGGTCTGGGTGACTCTCGGAAGCCAGAGAGGCCAGAGGCCCCTCCAAATAGCCTTTGTCAAACCAAAAACAAAAACAAACAACACGGTGCGTGGGGGGGAGAAAAGATAAAGAAAAAAAAAGAGAAAGAAGAATGTGAGGGACTCTGGGCCTCCAGTTGCAGGAGAACCGACCCTGAGTCAAGGGATTAGCTGAGTCATAATGAATTTAACCACGCATGTGTACATGTGAATCACACTGGGCCCTTTAACATTCAGGCACTTCTGCCTGATGACGTGCATAACTCTAGAACCTAGAAGTGCAGCCTTATTTGTGGCTGAATAATTACAGTGAGTGAATCAAAACATTCCAGGCAGAGGAAGGATCCTGCCTCAGACACGCTTAGCCACAGTGGAAGGCAGCAGGTGTAGGAGCCAGACATGATAAGCTAAATAGAAACAGACCACCTAAAGGAAGTTCTTTACTTCCAACCATTATTACCTGCCAGTGTAGGACTCAGCTGTTGATAAGTTTAATGGAGGCCTGAGTCTTGGTAGTTTACTCTGAAACAATATCTGGTTGCAGGAAGAACCACAAACTGAGATTACCCCAGTACCACCCAAGAACAGACCATCCAAAGAAAATGCCTAATGTTCCAACCTATGTAGATTAGGATCACCCGCCAGCACACAATCACCGCTAGACAAATGTCAGGCAATCAGGGATCTGGAACCTCAGAAACCCCTCACCCCCACCTTTACTACTATAAAAACCCAACTCTAACTGAGCTCGGGGCTCTCCATTATTCCAATACATTGGACATAATGAGAGAACAAGTTTGCAAACTTGCATAAAATAAAGGCTTTTTGCTTTTACATATGGGACTCTGGCTCCTTGCTGGTTTTGGGGAGACTTCGTGGATCAGGGCATAACACAGGAAGCTCCTGCAGCAGGCAAGAGAGAGGGTCAGATAATCAAAAAGAACACAAAAAAAGAGCAGAGGCCCTACTTTCACTGGCAGAATGTAAACAGGTATGTGGTTTGACCTATGAGGTGTGGGAGTGACACAGTTTCCATGAGCGAGGTAGAAAAGAAAAAGTTCTGGTGACTAAACTCCAGCATCCCAGAGGTTCAGCATGTGACTCAAACTGGCCTTAGGGCATCACCTACAAGGTCCAGGAGCTGTGGGAATGGATGAGCAGAAGCTGCACCCTTACGTCATCAGGTGGGATCAGGGACCTGAAGGGCTTTAAGGACAATAGGCATGTAGTTGACCACTACTGGGTCTTTTCACACTTGTAACCACAGCCAAGATGAATCTGCACTCACGGAAGCATGGCCAGAAGAGGGAGAGGGACCCATTGTTATTACTGATGTTGTATGAAATTTCATTGCTAGCTATTGGTCTGGGCGGTTGTGCGTCCAGGATCTCCATGTGCCTCAAGCTGTCTGCCTGCTGGCGGGCAGAAGGAACATGGAGAGAGCCTGGCTGATTCATACACCAACGTAAGATACAGCTTGAGAGAGAACTCAGTGGGTGCCATGGTGGGTGGGGGGACTGTGGCAGGTAATAGAATATGCCACGCAGAGAGAGAGAACTTGAGTGTGGAGTTTATTTGAGAAAAGGGTATTGTGGACGGTAGGGGGAGAAAAGGGAGAGATACAGACACAGAGAGAGGATAGAAAGGAGGGGGAGAGACAGAGACCTGCCTCTTCAGAAGAATGGTGGGAAGGAAAAGAGACTGGAAGTGGTCAGAGCATGTCTCTTAAAGGGACAGGGTACCTTCTGCTATGTAGGCAGGCACAGGATGTGATGTGCTGTGCCAGGGTGTGCCTGAATACGAACACCTACCTCTTTCCCATTCCTCCATCCAAAAAAGTAGAGTTCCTGTTTCTATGCCATTTCCTGTCTTCTCTCTGTACAGGCTTCTAGACCTCTATGGTTAATTAGCAGCTAGCTCCACCCTCCAAATCCAACCAAGCTTTATTTGTCGGATCACAAACAAAACATCACATAACAGGAGGTGCTAGGAAACAAGGATAGAAAAGACAGAGAAGATAAAAGCTGGGGTCAGAAGCTATAGCACAAGCTATATCTTATGCCAAATACATTTATTGAGAAGTACAGCATTGCTGGACATGGTGGTGCATGCCTTTAATCCCAGCACTTGGGAGGCAAAGCTAGGTGGATCTCTTATTTTAAGCCTAGCCTGATCTACAGAGCAAATTTCAGAACAGCCAGGGCTACACAGAGTAACCATGTCTCGAAACCCCCCAAAAGTACAGTATATTATATACTATTTACAGGGGAGAAATGGGGCAAAGTCAGCAATCACCTTACTTTAACTCTCATTTTCACTAGCTAACCAGAACAGGAAGCTAAAACTAGTAAGGCAATCAAAAATATTATTATTCTTTCTTTCATGACAATCCCAAGTTCTTTCCCATTGAGTGAGTAATCCCAATTAGAATGCCACAGTATCTTGAGACATGTTACAAGCTAGATATGAGTCATCCTCAAGTGTTTACAGAATGACAAAATTCTCCTAATCAGCGTTATCAATACATGCTTTACTAATTCCATTTGTAAAATGAAAACATCTCCAGCTAACGAACCTTGCAGTAAAAGTAGCAACATTTTGAAATACCAAGATTGCCCAAATCACGCAGTCAGAACAAGAAGAAAAGGTTCCCAACTCCTCCGACCAGCACTTCAATGAGGGTGCAGTTCTTAGATCTGACTCTGCCCCCACCTGATGTTGGTTGGAAACTGCCAGTGCACTAGAATGTGTGCTGGTCAGGGCAGGAGGGCCACTGTTTGGGGGATCGTGACCTCAGATCTCTCAATCTCATCTCTCTGCATAGGGAAAACATAGGATATGGGATCCTGCTTAACAACCCTGGCAAAAAACTTCAAGACTTCCACCTTGGTGGTTTCGGCATGTGCTCTCGGGCCCCACAGGAACTCATGGCTGGGAGGATCGCTATCTGTCACCTGCCTGTACTCCAGATACCCTTCCTGCACAAAATGCTCAGTGATGAGTCTCCTGGGCTCCCCGCACAGGAAGTGATCCCTCCCGGCATAGAGCCCCATCCTATTCAATATATGCCACAACACCTCCTCACTGACACAATCGTCCTCTATGAAGATGATGCACAGTATGACTATTACCAGGCCTGTCTTGGGTATGCCTGGGGAACCATGCTGCATCCCATCATAGGTGATCCCAAGAGCATGGACAAGAGAGTAGGAGCAGACAAGGGGGTCCCCAAGGGAGTTACTTTCTATTATCTCAAGGCCAAACATCAGTCGCATGCAGTCAGCGGCCTTCTTCAAGATTAAGGAATAGTGTGCCTCATGATCTCCGATGACCATGTGCAGAATTTCTGCCCTAGTTGTTATCTCCTTCCTCCTGTACTTGACGAGCAGGAAGAGAACCAAATCCACGATCTTGCTATTGAGCGCATTCTGCAGTGGAGGCTCGGGGTTAGCCACATGGCTAGCTTGATTGCCAGAGGCCTGAGCAGATGGTGCCATTGCAATTGAGCCCATGGCGGTGGGAGAAGAGGAGGCTCTCTGAGCACTGTGAGGAGAACTCAGCATTCCTCCAAGGGACGCACACCCCGAGGTGGTGGCAGTGGCCTCCTCCTCCCCCTCCTCTGCTATGGGGACCGTGGCAGTGGCCTCCTCCTCCCCCGCCTCTGCTATGGGGACCTGGACTCCCACCAGACCCCTTGCCTCCCTTTGGAATTGAGCGCTGTCAGGGAAGTGGAGGCCATGGCTGGTCTTGGTAGGATCCATGCTGAGTTTCCTTGGGAACACAGGCAGGACAGGCAGGTGTGGGTCACAGAGATGAACACTCACAGGCCTGGGGGAGGAAGGGAGAGGTTGAGAGGACTCTGACAGTTATTCCCTGGGCAACTCTCAAAAAGCACCTGTCACAGGATTTTGCCTGGGGAGTGCACTTAGGGCCAAAGGACTCTGGTACTTCTTGTGCCTCTGAGAGGCTGGAAGAAGAGGAGCCCCAAATCCCTGGGTGTGTGCTTCTCAAAACAAGTTTCTGTGGCTCTGAGAGGGAACAGAAGGCAGTGAGGGCACCTTACACCTCCTGACACCTGTTCGGTGAGTGGGGCTTGGGAGAGCTAAAAGAGCTAGGTCGATTCAGTGTGGCTCATTTGGGCTAGAACAGGCCACAAGCCCGTTTCTCACCTTGATCAATGGCTAGTTCCAGAAGCGTCCCCGTGATCCCTGGATCCCAACTCTTGAAGACAAGAGACTATGCCTGTAAGAAAGAAGAATGGGAGACTGAAAGGAATCCAGGCAAGGTGCCTCCGTTTTCCCACAGCCTTCAGGAAGGCAGGTAGGTAGGCAGTACTCTCTGCTTTTAGCTGATGGGACTCTCTTAACTCTCACAAGGAATCCTCACAGACCCGAGCCTCCCTCTGATGCCCCAGGCTAAGGTGCTCTTAGCAGGCCCTTCAGCTCCCTTAGACTATTGGCTGGAACCAGGGCAGAGGGCTCAGCCCTGCAGCCCCTCCCAGGACTGTCTGTGAGTCAGGGATTCAGGGAAGTCCTTGGAGGGACCACTTTCTCCTTCACTCGCCTCCTGAGATCCTTTACTGGAACTTCCCAGGGCCGACTTAACCAAGAACTCAGTTCAGACAAGATCTCCGACTCTAGTGAAGTTCCACACCTGGCGGCCCTATAACCATCCTCTCAGGAGAAAAGAGCCGGTGGCACAGACGTTAACCCCTGCGGGGGAATGGCTGTGATGCCCACGTGTGCTCATCTCTACTGCGACAGGAGTCCCCTACGTCCACGGAAAAGCATCTTTACCCTCTTTCTGGAGACCCCTGCTTCCCAGAAGAACTCCCACCTCTACAAGGACTCTGACGTGCCGAAGAACACAAAGCCCTTGGTGTCCCTGAGCATGGACTCTGGGTCGTACCCAGACAGTGAGGTCCTTTGGCTCTCTGCTTCAGATTTAGTCCTCAGAGAAGGTCCACACTCTGCAGAATCCCGCTGCTCTCCAGACGTGGCCGCCACTGCTGATCTGATATCAACCCTAGGAACAAGGTCATCATTCCCAGTAGAGTTCTCAACCCAAGTCATGCAGTCCAAGGAAGCTAGGTGTAAGCTTCCGCACTTTTCTGTGGACACCCGAACCTCGAAACAGGTGCGCGCTTTTCCTAACTCGAGCCCACGAGAACGGACGATTGTCCTGGGGGTTAAAACATATGACACATACACAAAGAGACCGGGCTCATCTGCCAAGGAGCAAGTGGCAAATGGCAGCTTTATTAAGCATAAGTCGGGTATATATACTGTGGGGCAAAAGGACACCAGCCCCCCATCAGGATCAAGGAAAGAGAAAAGTCAGGGGACCGCACCCAAGGTCAGAGAGCAGCTGAACAGAGAAAAGAGGAAGCCAGGTAGGTGTGCTCACAGTGCTCACACTCAGAGAAAAGCTGACCCGGGAACCTTGCCTGCGGGTGAGAACCTTGCTTGCAGGTGGAATTACCATGACAGAAGAGCTCTCTCTAAGCTACACCCTTGGGCCGTAGGCAAAATTAACATAACAGGAGAGGGCAGTCCTATGCTACACCCTCAAGCTGATGCAGTGGAACCAGGAAGCAGAACAGCCCTGCATAGCGCCTCGGAAAAATGGGGAACCTGTGTACCTACAGCTAGGCACAGAAGCCCCCACTCGCACCCTCCCACCCTCCCACCCACCCCCCACCCCCCC